CGAAGGCATCATAGAAGGTTGGAACAAGGGGCGCGGGTTTCTTTCCTGATGTTGCAGAGGAGAATGCCTTTGAATGGAACTTGCGCCAACCGACCCTCTTTTTCCGTTGAGTAAGCTGACGAGCCCGCAAGAATCTCAGGTAAGAAAAGTGAAAATGTTTTGCAAACCCGTATAACTTAAAAGCACGGAAAATTATCATCCTACACGAAGCAAGAATATAGTGCTCGTACGAAGGAACATTCGTTAATTTAATCGACGAATTGCCCAGTCTGCTGTCAACATAATTATTTTGTCTTGCCTCGGTCAGACCAGCGTTGATACTCGACATAGAAAGACAAGGAATGACGATTGAACGCCGTACAATAGCGCTGACGTTGAAGCATTTTCAGGCTGAAATCACAAGACCATGCAAGGAATGACTCTATTCTTTTTCGAGCATAGGTGTGTTCAGTAGATTTTAAGATTAAAAGATGGAGATTGGCACTGTTAGACAAACTGATTATTCTTCCATTCTTCAGTCAGCCCTTGAGCTCCTTGTATGGGAATCAGAGCCAGGAATATGTGGACCAAAAGATCAGCGAGCAACGCATGATCATTGTGCATGCTGGTGAAAAATCTGTTTCAAAGGAAGAATTGTAATTTGTAATTTGTGCCTTATAGCAAATGTTGAAAACGTTAGATTGTTTTTGGAGTGATCGAAAGCACAGACGTGCTGGTGATGCAAATGACCTGTCACCCATTATGTAACTCGTTAGCCTGAGTTACGTCTCAAGTCATGAAGCCACCGAAAACAAGTTCGTGCATATCTATACAAGAACTGAACGGTACAAATGCTCAGTGATTCCATTCATCGCCTGCACGTTTTGAAGATCAGGTGCACAACTAATGGAAGGATTTTCTTCTTGTTCGTTCTTCTTTGTTGTTTTTGTTTCAGTTTAAATTTTTACCAATCTAGCCCCATAGTTGATAAGTGCGGTAGTATCATAAGAGAATAAATCTCACTGAGTGACTGATTGATTGACTGAAATGATTACAGCAAGAAAGACGAATTCGCCTCTAATTGAACGTTTAATTTCTGAAGAAGGCGAAGGCTTGTGAAGCACATGTCCAAACATTGAGACTGTTATTTTGTCGACTAATAAAGTTTCTCTCTACTCGGTCGTTGACGAAAGACGCCACCGTAACAGTGCAGAGAAGCGCGCGCATTTTTAGGGAGTTTTTTTGATTGCAACCATCCGAGTAGCATAGACTGTGAGCTGCTGTTTATTATCTCATGTCGAATGTTGTCTAGAATTTTCTGGATTAATTCACCATCATAGTCCTCTGTTCCGGAAATAAAAGTCATGGGGAACAGGAATAGCAATGATTTTTTGAGAAGTAATTATGGACACGGTCGTTCAAGTCCTTTTGCCAGGGTTACTAATTGGAGTGCCTTTCTCCTAGATAAAACTCTTTTTAAAGACGCGCATAGATATCTCTGCCAAACCCACTACCTGGTTCATCAACGACAACCTGAGAGTTCTTAGAGACTCGTCACTACATATCCGACCGTGCTTCGATCGTCTTCTACGCTCAGCGAAGGGTTGGACTCTGCAGCGCAAGTTATGTCTGCCAAGGGTGATTTTCTTTTACAGTTCATGACGTCTCAATTTTGAATGCAGGTTCAGACAATATATTTATGGTACTAATGTTGCTATACGTTTTGATGAGCAACAAAGCACCTTATGCTGATTGTCACTTTGAACAAGCATAGATCAGGGTGAATTGTACTTTATGAAGGGGCAACTGTGCACCACTCAAATTTTGGTATGACCGTACCGGAACCGAATGTTGTCCCTTCAGGTGGCAAATCAACAACTTCCTACCCTTTCTTCAGCTGGTTTGACAGAGGCAACGTGAAGTAAATTCTTTATTAAGGGAATTTGCGAATAAGGCAAAGATTGTCCTTTGGCAGTTCCGGAATTCAAGATCGATCTCAGCCGCTATAACACCACATCTCCCAAATATTGTCCAGAATTAGTTCTTAAACCAAGTGATTTTACTTTTATCGCTTGAAGAGTTACGCCTTGTTCTGATTTAATCAGCTACCAGGTGGTCAAAGCAAAATGATTCATGCATCTGGCAGCAGTGTCGTATGTATAGCGTGCTATGGCATGACCACACCAGAACACCGCGCTGCCCCATATTGTTTGCTGGTCTATGCTGTTCATGTCAGCAACTGAATAACAACGAGATGAATTGCTTGTTCAAGGAAAATAACTGTTAATAAGAAAGATTTGCACCGTGTTAAGGTGTGCAACGAAATCTTTACAGTGCACAGCCGATATACCTCGATTTGTATTGTTATCCTCTTGCGTACGCCCCCCCCCGCCCCTTTCC